AGCTACACTACACTATACACTATAACACAACGAGTGCCGAGAGATACAATATACTACAGACAAGCGTCAGGACCGGAGCTACCTAACACTATAACACAAAGAGTGCCGAGAGCTACAATACACTATAGACAAGTGCCAGGACCAGAGCTACACTACACTATACACTATAACACAATGAGTGCCGAGAGCTACAATACACTATAGACAAGTGCCAGGACCACAGCTACACTACACTATACACTATAACACAATGAGTGCCGAGAGATACAATATACTACATATTATAATACAGCAGGTACTGGGACCGGAACTACACTGTCATGAACAGGAGTACACTATAACACAATGAGTGCCAGAACTACACTATACTATACACTAGACTCATGCATAGCTGAAAATATTGTTTCGTTTTTCTTTCGTTACTATTCAGATTTTTGTTTTCTGAAATTTGGATCTGTTCGATATTCATTATCTAACATTAGTGGACAGGTACTGAATAGAAGAAAGAGCACGGTTTCACACCCCAATAGTATAAACTAGAAAAAAGACAAATAAACCCACTTTCCGGTATGCAAATCCAAAAAGGGGGAGATTATATTTTTTTATGTATATTTTTATTTACATATATACAATTTTTATTTATTTATTTATTATTAATATTATTTTTTCTTATGGTTTTTGGATTCACTGGATTAACTAGTTTAATCTAATTTTAAATTGAATGCTCACTTTCTATTACGTATCACTGTTATCACATACATACCCAATTTAATCACGCCATTAACACAATCGTTAAATTACATTCTTCTATACACCATTCATTTATACTTTTTTCATTTTCATTTATTCATCACACTATTACAATTGTTATATAACTGACTACAACATTGATTCATTACCACGCTGGTTGCTCACTATACTCATGTTATATACATTTCAGCTGTGCCTTTGTGAGCACTATGCGTCATCCCTGCCTTTGCTTGTCTCTGCTACCGGTATATTTTGTCTCCAGGCATGACCCTCCCATGTGATGTCTGCCTGTGGATTGAGGGTTTGGTCGGTTCTTCCTTCATCACCTTCTATTTTCTTTTGACCGATTGGCAGATTACTCCACGCAAGCTTGCAGGTGCATATCAGTGGAAATGTGTTTGCATTTTATATTGTATAAATTGTATGTAACCAATATATACAGTATTTGGATGTGCTCTTTACCTGTTGGCCTTATGTATATGTTTCAAAGAATTACTCTGAGTGAAATAATTTTATGTTATGTGTAATATATATATATGTGTACATTATTATTTTTTACCGTTTAATTTATTGTTGATGTGGTTATTAATACAACACATTTGGATCGGTTCTCTTCTTAGGACTTAAACATCTCCCTGAGGAAGCCCCATTGGGCGAAACATGTTGGGGAATTTGGAAGAACCAGTGCTTCCACTCTTCTTTTTTTTTAAAAACAACAATGTGTCTCATCAATCCAAACCGATTTTTCTATTGTGTCTTTTAAGATAATATTCTTTGAATTTATTTCCTAATAAATGACTCTACTTTTTATTAAATTGAGAGAGCATTAGTTTTTTTAAAGCCCCTCCCCCTTTTTGGATTTGCATACCTGAAAGTGGGTTTATTTGTCTTTTTCCTGTTCGATATTCAGAATTCTACTCAAGAAATTAAACAAAGGGGTAGAGCAAGTCGTGACGTTCCAGGACTTGTTCCGCCGCTTTGTTTACATTCCGTGACAGCTTTCGTTCCCCTAATGGAATGTAAATAAAGGGGCGGGACATGTCCAGTGAGATCATGATTTGCTCCATCCCTTTGTTTACATTCAGGAGCACAGCTGTCAATAGCGGCGAGAATTCGTCTGGTTCGGAGATGGAGGTGGGGGGGAGGGGGGGTTTCGTCGAGTAGACGTGCAGCATCGTGATTGATGGGGATCTACAGTGATGGACGACGTGATTGACATTGATGGTGTGTTGTTGTTTTTTTGGAATAAAGGACATGTCAAAAACTGTGTCATGGTTTTTTTTTTAAATAAAGGACTTTACAAACTGGTATAGTGTGTTTATTTACTATTTTACTGTGTATTCGGGGAATGAGTAGGGGTAATAACAACCCATTACCAATCCCCAAGCGGGGGGCGACATCTGGGAATGAGGCCCTTGTCCTCATAAACATGGGGACAAGGTGCTTTGCCAGGGGGTCCCCCCTGCCAAAGCACCCTCCCCATGTTGAGAGCATGTAGCCTAGTATGGTGCAGGAGAGGGCGACGCACAATAGTGACCAGCCGCCTAGAATTGACTCACACAAATCTAGGCGGCTGGTCACACATAGGCAGATACAACTCTTGCATGAAGTCTATTGAACTCTAGGGGTTGTGGAGCAAACTAGTGATTCAGCAGACAGTTCTGAGATTCCCCAAGCTGTCTTGCAAGCTAGAATCCTGCCGTGATCACTTTTCACAAACACACCAGACTTAGGGTAGCTTGCCCCACCACCTGCACTTTGTCAGAAAGTCAGCTAAGCACCCCCTCCCCCGGTCCCCTACTATCATTGGAGAAAGTGAGTGTGCACCAGCTGCAGTCTCTGTTGGCAGTCGCGTTCCCCCTGAGGGAGGAACGGAAGTGGCCGTGTCTGGGGGTGTGTCTGTGCCACTGCACAGCTCCTGGACTGCTGGACTACTTTGCTGGGATGATGGCAGTACGGTGATTCTGGCAAGGCTGGAGCCCTGGCAGAGGAGATGGTGAGGATCTGGCTTGGGGGCTCAGAGCTGTCATGGTTTATTGGTGTACACAGGCTGGTGATGCCATATGCTGCACTGTGTGTGGGCGGTGTGGTGGCTTGTGGTGATAGAATAGTAATATAGAAGACCCCACCTCTGTATTTAAAATAGTGTTAAACTCTTAAACTTAATGAATCCAGATCAAACAAATATACATTGTCCATTGCCCAATCTCCAATTCTTTCAGCTCAGCTTCCCTGAACTTCCTGTCCAGTACAAGATCACAAGGGAGAGAGCTATCTTGCACAGCATTCCATCTACTAGCCTGGAGAAGGGAGGAGTGGTTAGCAGGAAGGAGGGGAGTGATTTGGCTTGCTGTGTTTGAGGAGACACACACACACAAGGGTGGCTCCTTAGGACCCTGCAAGGAAAGGAGCCACCCTAAAACAGGATAACATGGTCAGTGCTCAGCGGATCAGCTGATTCTGCAGGAAACTAAAACTTTTAAACATTAAGGAGCGGCATCCATTGTAAGTGATTTAATAAGCATTTAAAATAGCTTAAAAGCGCTGTGGCTTCAATAGAAATTTAATGTTACAGTATCATCTCCTCTTCAGAACTGTAAGACAAGGTGATATCAGTGGAGCATCAATCTGCTGATGCTCAGGCTGACTCCGACAAAAATAATCATGATAATGTTAATTCAGGATTGTGGTAGAATTTATGGCAG